TCGTCCACTGACCGTCCAGCGCCTCTGTCCACAGACACGTCGTCCACAGACCGTCCAGCGCCTCTGTCCACAGACACGTCGTCCACAGACCGTCCAGCGCCTCTGTCCACAGACACGTCGTCCACAGACCGTCCAGCGCCTCTGTCCACAGACACGTCGTCCACAGACCGTCCAGCGCCTCTGTCCACAGACACGTCGTCCACAGACCGTCCAGCGCCTCTGTCCACAGACACGTCGTCCGCTGACCGTCCAGCGCCTCTGTCCACAGACACGTCGTCCACAGATCGTCCAGCGCCTCTGTCCACAGACACGTCGTCCACTGACCGTCCAGCGCCTCTGTCCACAGACACGTCGTCCACTGACCGTCCAGCTCCTCTGTCCACAGACACGTCGTCCACTGACCGTCCAGGTCCTCTGTCCACAGATACGTCATCCACCAACCACGCATCTGTCCATTCGAGAACACGCTTGCTGTATTGCCAGGGTTCCACGCACCATGATCATCTGGGATGGGGGTCCACACTTGCCCTGGACGTGTCCTTGGAGAGCTAGAGCCAGACAGCCAGGGAAAGAGCTGCGGGCACCACATGCACCTGCTTCAAGCAGGACAAGTATATGCTGGGCTGCCACAGGATCCGAGGGGATACGAGACAAGAAAAAGGGGACAGAGGAAGAAACAGAAGCCGACCGGACAGGAGGCAGCGCTCCACGGTGACATCCCGGGAAGGGCGCTAAGGGGGTGTCTTCTGTATCGCTCACTCACGGACCAGCAGCACCTGCCTGTGGGCCTGGGGCTACCTGGGGTTCTGAAGCACAGGGGACCTGGAGTGCAGCAGTGGGTGAGCTAGAAGATGCGGGTCAGATGGTGCCCTGCATCTCTGGGAGCTCGTGACGTGGGGGAGCAGAGGGGCAATTCCTGATTTCAGAGGCTTCGGAGATTGGACTGGCGCGGGGACACGGGGAGCCCCAATCACAGACTCACAGTCGGCGGGCCGTCTCCCTCGGGTCGGCACGGCTTCCTGGATATCACTGTAATAGGCTTCAAAACCTACACAAGAGGAGAAAACCGTGACATGTCATTTAAAGCCACAGACTCCCCTGAAGTCCATGCGACGCTCCTGACGGCGCACACGGGCTGCCCAGGTCTGAGTGTCGAGTGCACAGTTGGCTCTGCGCATGTCACCGTGTCACCGCGACAGTGGAGGAGGCCGGGGTCTGGGTGTGCGGCTTCCGCGCGATAAGCCAGCTGCTGGGCGCAGGGCTGAGGCCAGGACCCCGCGCTCTCCAAGTTCCCACTGCCCCTTCAGAGAGCCTCGCGCTCCTTCCTCTCAGGACGGAAGTGGACACAAGCGTGTCCTGCTGCAGACGTCACGGCCCCGTCCCCGGCCCCACACGGCGGCTGCCCTGAGCCCCGGGGGCCCCAGTGTGGGGGTGGCATCTGCCAGGCCGCAGCCCAGGGAAAGCACAGTCTTGATGCTGTCACTGGGGAGGGACAATGAAGGACGGGCGGATTCTGGGCCAGAACTTTGCTCCCTGACAAAGAGCTCCTCCCTCGACTTCTGGGGCACAGAAACAGTGTCTGGGCAGCCTGAAAACCAGGGGTAGAGTGAAGGGACTGGTGGCTGGGAAGGAGGCCGTGTGCACAGACGGCTGTCAGAGCCTGGACAGGGTTTGCAGTTAGGGAGGAAGGCCCTGAGACCCTAGGAGCATCCCACAAGCCGGGCGGACATGACAGGACAGCGGCACTTACCAGAGGGGGAAGGGCATGGGCTCTGGGGGGACGGCCTCCCAGGGGGGCTGGGTCCCGGGGACCCCTGGTCACCCGCAGCAGGGACCCGGTGCCGGCCGACCGCGGGCCCCGAGGAGGGTTTCCCCGTCAGGCCCCGGGTGTGTGGTGATGGCTCCCGTGAAGATGGTGTGCCCACTGCATGCGGCTCCAGCCAGCTCGGCTCCGTGGACGGTGCGCTGGACTCTGGCAGCTTCGAAACGGCCCCCAGTCCGGCGGCGCCCAGCAGCCCCACTGTTCTACAAAAGGGAACTTGAACAAACACGGGACAGGGTGAGACGTTCGGACCAGAAAAACTATGTGGTTTAAAAAGGTCTATGGGGGCGTGTGGGTGGCTCAGTTGGTTGAGCGTCTGATTGTTGATTTCAGCTCAGGTCATAATCCCAGGGTCCTGGGATCGAGGCCCACATCGGGCTCCACACTCAGCAGACAGCCTGCTTCTCCCTCTCCCCCTGCTGCTCCCCCTGCTTGTGCTCTCCATTTCTCTCTTGAATAAATAAAATCTTTTTAAAAATAATAATAAGTAAACAAAAAGGTCTACGATTACATCAGCATGCCGTTTTAACAAACGTGATCCACATCTGAGAAGGACACGTCTGAGAACTGGGCACAGTTCTCCCCCAGAGGCAGGCGGACCACCCCACCGGAAGCAGGAGGGTGGCTGGTGTAGCTCCCCTGGGATCTGCTCACCTCGGGCTCCCCCTGCACCTGCACACCTGGCACGGTGATTCACGCCTATTCTAGACACACTCTGGGTACGTGGGGCTCCTAACCCCGACTCACCTGTCCGCATCTCATGCAACAACTCTAAAGAGCACTGGTATAATTTATGAGAAAGGATGAACGACAAAGAGAAAATTTTTACGGATGTAACACAAGGACATCTCGCTAGAGTGAGCTTGTGCTCACTGCCGTCACAGAGCCAGATTCTGTGACATTAAAAGGAGACCCATGGTCTTCGGACAGTCACTGGCTTGGCTGCAAGTTTAACCAACGGGTGTTCATGCCAGTTCCTCCCATGCATTCCCCACCGGCTTTGCTTCTCGAAAACCCCATTACATCAAGAATGTGGGAACGGCTCCCCTGCAAAGAAGGGCACAATAAAAATGGCCCCATGTGTTCCTGTCCCCCTCGCTGTGAGGTCAGCTGCACTCAGAGCCCGTGTATGGAAGCTCTGTGCAGCCCCATGGAATGGATTCAGAATAAATGAGTGTGGGTCTCTGAGGGCTGGGCACAAGCTTCTGTCCCAGGAACCAGCTGGACCCAGCTCGGAAACCAAAGCTCCACTGTCTGCCATTCACAATCATCTCTCTTTTCACAGATGCCACCGACGAGAACCCCTTTCCCTCCTGGTTCACACCCAGGCCACGTCCCACCCCAGAGCTGGCATGTTCTCACACGTGATCTCATGTCACATGGCCACTGCCCTGCCTTTCTTGGGTAGGACCCCCACCCACCCAAGAAAACCACGGCTCAGAGAAGTGCCTGACGTCTCGGGTTGCAGAGCCAGGGCAAGGAGTAGCCCCAAGGACAGCAGGAGCCGCGAGGGACAGAGGCAAGTGCTGGGTCCGGGTTCATGTGCAAGAGGCTGAGCCACAGCATCCAGGCATCTCCATCCCCGTGAGCATAAAGGAGAGGGGTTGGGGGTGTGATGGGCACGACCAGGAACACTGGCCCGGACGAGTCAGAATCTGCACATTTTCAGCAATCTCCGAATACCCGAGTCCTCCCCTGCGTTAATAAAATGAAGGAAGCTATAACCTTACCTTCCATTCGGGCCCTTTCTGTCGCGTTGACCAGGAAGAGGTCCCAGGAGTAAGACAGATGGAGCCCTTCACCACACTCATCACACTTGGCTTGCAAAGAAAGCTCCTCATTCCAGTTAACAAACATGTCCTTAAAGCTGACCCAGGAGATGTGGACGAATCTGCACCGTGAAACCAGGTTGGAGATTTTAGGGAGAGCACCAGACTTTCTACTTTTAATTTTTTTTTACAGTAGGTTCCACACCCAACATGGGGCTTGACCTCATGACCCCGAAATCAAGAGTCACGTGCTGTATCGACTGAGCCAGGCTGGAACCTTGATTCCTCCACTTTTAATACACATCAGGAGCCTTAAAACGTGCAGGTGGCCTGGGTCTGTCTGGACCTTGGAGAGGTGCCCAATCCTGTGTGCTGAGACGTATTTTTCATGGGCTTGAACCTGAACCCCGCGGGGGGGGGGGTCTCCACCAGAGACATCTGTCTGACCTCGAAGTCACAGCACACGTCCTCTCCTCTGTGTTGGTCCCGGCCAGGCACAGCCTTCCAGAACCCACCCTGGTCTCCGCACGTTTAACCCTGAGCTGTCTGTATACAACAAGGCGATGGTAACTGCCCAGACCCCTTGCAGGGTCCACGTACGGGAGCAGCCCTCCTCGCCCGAGTCCTTCCAGGTGTCCCGCTTGCCCCCCTGGGGGCGTACAGAGCAGCTGTGGCACACACCAGTCTGCGTCCAGTGTCTGCGGCTCAGCGAGGCCCTCACTCGGGTGCTAGCCCGGCCTCCGTGTCGCAGGTCCGGTTTGCGGTCGGAGCATGTCCCTGCTCCCCGCGCCCGGTGTTGCCCCCATGTCACAACTGGCCCAGCCCCGTGACACCTTAGCCTCTGTCCAGCCCCAGCCCCCAGCCCCAGAGCAGACCCCTGTCCTGTGGCAGCTGCCGTGATGGAGGGGCACCTCCTCCTTGGAGCCCCCACACGTCAGCATTCGCCTGGAGGGCTCTGCCCCGGGGCCAGGTGAGAGCGGGGTCTCCCCACCTCGCTGGTCAGCCCCCTTTCTCCTCAGCAGGCCCCTCAGGTGGCTCCCACACCTGCCGGGCAGGGCATAGAAGGGCACACCCCTCGGACCTGGCCTGCAGGAAGCGAGGGGCAGGCGGTACCTGAGAGCCGAGTCCGGGCGAGGGGAGAGGAACACCTGCGCCGCTGTAGAGTTCCGGCCGGCGCTGGACACCGTCAGCGTCACGAGAAACTGGTCATAGCTGTCGCTGAGCGAGTCTGCAGGGAAGGCCAGGGAGGGAGCCCCAGCACCCAGGCTGCGTGGGGAGGAGGCAGCGAAGCACGAGTGCCCGGGGCTGCTGGCCGCCGTGCATGTCCAGTGATAACTGTGGAAGAAGCCACCGCGGGACTGAATGCACCTGCTCCGGCAGCCAGGTGACCACCCCCAGGCCACTCATGGGGCTTTCCTGGGGCCCCAGGGGAGCAGGCGGGCCGGGAGACACGATGCTTCCCTTATTCTCTGATGGCGGTGAGGTGGGAGCTTCCAACACTGGAGCAGGGCTGCCAAGGTGAGGGGCCGGGCCCTGCCCCGCCTGGCTCACTGGCTCGGGGCCCTGCTCTGGTCACTTAATCCTCCCGACCCCACGCATGCCACCTCCCACCTCCACTGGCATCTCTGCAGCCCCCAAGGAGCACGCTGCCTCTGACTGTGGGAAGGCCGAGTCCTCAGGAGCTGCCCGTCCTGGAGCGCAGGTGGACCGGCCAGGAGATGGGCGCCCAGCACCTCCCCCATGCACAGCCTTCCTCCCTGTGACAGTCGCCACTGCACTCAACAGCCAAGAAGCCAGCCCCAGTCCCTGCCTGGAGCAGGTCCTACTCTGGGCGGACACGCCATGACCAGCAGCCCCACCAGGAGGAGGTGCGAGGAAGAAGGAAGTGTGGGCTGAGCAGGGGCAGGGACCCCACACGGCACCCCCAAAGTCTACACTGCTGCTCCTTCCTCCAAGTTCATTTCCCTCTTTGGACTATAAGCAACCTGAACTCGGGCGCTGGTTCTAAACCTCCCTGTTTCCAGAGCCTGTAGGAGCTTGGTCAGCACCAGGCCAGTTCAGACCCTTGGGGGTGGGGGGAGCAGCCCTCCTCCAGGGCTGGGTGGGAACAGTCCCCACTCCCAGGGAGCAGACTCAGCCCGTTTCAGGAGACACACAATGAACTCTTGTTCGTGGGCGCCATGCAGGGCTCTCAGGGGAGGGTGCAGAGTGAACAAGACCCCACTCTGTCTCCCGCGGCCGGGGCACGGGAGGTACCCAGCCAGCCATGTGCATTGTCCAGAACACATGCGTATGACCAGCGAGTCCAACGGGCCGCCTCTCGCCTCCACCAAAGCCCGCACTCGGGACGCAGCAAATGTCCGTGCTCATGGGGTGAAGAGAACAAAGTAGGTCCTCTAACTTTTCTGGAATACTGCTTGAGGACCCACTATGTGCCAGGCACAGCGATATGCCAAGTCACAGCCCTGCCGTCCTCAGCGAACATTCTAGCCGGGCCAGAGCACGGATGGTGACCGCAGTACATGAGCGAGTACGGGATGTCACAGGGAGAAGGGGCTATGGGAAAAGACACCGCAGGGTCAGCACGGGATTGTCATCGCCGTCAATGGGGTCATCGGAAGCCTCCCTGGGCATGTGATGTCTGAGCGCAGATGCAAGGAGGCGGGGTGGTGACAATAAGGGCTTTAAAAGACTCCGTCCACCCACTCTGTGAAGAACGGCCTGATGGCGGTCGGGAGCACCACAGGGGCCAGGGAGGAGACCTTACGGAAGGAAGCCCAAGATGCCACTCAGCCCAGACGGGGCCAATGTGTTTTCCCAACAGACTGGCCGAGAAGTGGGAGAGAAAAAGAGAACTGCTCAAGGTTTTGGCCCAAACGATGGGAAGGATCCTTCTGTCAGCAGAGATGGGAAGGCTGCAGAGATGGCGGGACACCCAGCCTGGAGGCCAAGAATGATCTGGACGCAGGATGCATATGCTCGAGGTGACGGCGCAGGGACGGTGTCCACAGAGGATGTGCGCTCCCAGGCCACGGGCTCTGGATGGCATCCATGGAGGATCCATGCTCGAGGTGACTATCACATGGATCACGTCCACATCAGGAAACTGGGTGAGGCCGCCAGGGAGGGCATGTGGATGGTGAAGGGGACCGAGGCTTGAGCCAGGGACCTCCAACAGTAAGGGATGTGGGACACTCGGAGATCAAGCCCCCATACACCAAAGCAAGAATTTTAATCACAGCATAACATGTTTGCCAAGGACTGAATGCGTTCCTCTAAAATGTGGAAACCTAACACCCGGTGTGACGGTGTGGGGACGGGGGTCTTGGGAGGGGGTTAGGTCGCGAGGGTGGAGCCTCAGGGAAGGGACGGACAGGTGGGGCTCCTGTAGCGGTGCCCCCGAGAGCCCCCCTTACCCCCCGCTAGGGCACCATGAGAAGAACCAGCTAGGCACCAGGAAGCAGGTCTTCCCCAGACACCGACTGGCCGGCCCCTCGGTCTGGCCTTCCAGCCTTGAGTCCACAGAAAGCAACGTCCACTGTGTAGAAGCTACGCAGGCTGTGGGACTGGGACAACACTTAAACTTCATTTTTCCAAATACTCACGTTTGAGTGACACCCTTTCCCCAAACTCCCTCATGGTAGGATCCCGAGTTGAGACACGAGCTCAGCTCCCCAGTGCTCACCTGAGGGTGGCCCCCGGGTGGTCTGGGTCGTACGACTGGGAGCCCGTGAGGACGACGGTGAACGAGGGGGCTCTGGAGAGGAGCAGGTGCGTGCCCTCGGAGATGACGCTGATGGGGGCCCGGGCTCGCACCTCCACTGCCACACTGTAGTTGCTGTGCACCATGCTGCCTTCCACCTGAACCTGGACCGCGGCGGCAAGGGGGTGTCACCCAGGGCACTGGGCAGGAGGCACGCTGGAGCCAGACGCCCCTCTACCACTGCAAGGAAACTGGGGCGCCCGGCTGGCTCCGTCGGTGGAGCCTGTGACTCCTGATCTCAGGGTCGTGAGTTCGAGCCCCACCCTGGGTGTAGCGATGACTTAAAAAAAAATAAATTTTAAAAACAAGTAAGATAACATTGGAAGGATGAGTGTAAACGTGCCCCCAGCGCTGTACTAAGGGCTCCGTAATTGTGAACCCCAACTGGTCACCTGTGTCAGAGAAAGAGCCTCCCGTGTGCCCAGTGGAAGCAAAGTGGCTGGAATGGAGGAGGGCAGAGACACGTGCTCACGTCTGGGGGGCACACAGAGCTGGGACTCCCCAGGTACTCCTGCAATGACACGGGTCCCCCGGTCCGCCGACAGGAACCTTGTCCATGGTCTTGGTCTTGGATGGCATTAGCTGGCTTTCTATAAACTACATTTCTGGGGGCACCTGGCTGGCTCAGGCCGTTGAGTGTCCAGCTCTTGATTTTGGCTCAGGTCATGATCTCAGGGTGGTGAGATCAGCCCCGCGCTGGGCTCCGTGCTCAGCAGGGAGTCTCCTTCAGACTCTCCCTCTGCCCCTCCCCCTGCTCTCTCTCTCTCTCTCTCAAATAAATAAGTAAAATCTTAAAAAAAACAAACAAACTACATTTCTAGCCCCCATGCAATGGTCTTGAAGCAATGTAAATGAACTTTAAAACAAATATTTTGAAACTCAGGAACACTGGAACACTTTATAAACAGGCCATTCAAAAGGACTCTTTGAGAAGTTTGATGCAATTAAAAAAATAAATAAATAAAGCAGAGCTTTTTGTTCTTTTCATTGGTCTGGGCCCCGGTCCTTTGTGCCTCTCCATCAGAGAGGCACCCGTGGTTCCGTGCTGGTGGCTCTCCCGAGTGGGGACCTGACAACTACTGACTACTGTCTGATCACACTCCACACTCCCACCTACACCTCCCATCTCTGCTTGCCCAACACCTCCTGCTGGAGGAACCATCAGGAACCTCCAAAGACTGGGAAGTGTCGGGGTGGGCAGTGACAGCGGGAGGTCTGGACATCGGAGGGTATGACCCCTAGAGGCAACGTATGACAAGCTCAGACATCGGCAAAAGCACCTCATTGAGTCAGGTCCCCACGACCTGGAGAAAGACATGTCTGGAGCCTGCTCGCGGACAAGGACATGCTCATGAGTAAGTGTGCCAAGCAATGAAGCCAACCTTCACCTTCACCCTCCCACACGGGCAGGAGAGGGTGCTGTGACCCCACCGCCCAGGGCCTGGGGAAAGGGACTCTCAGCACGGACACGCAGGCTACCCGCACGTGGCCCCAGCGATCGTGTCAATGCCCATCTTCGGGCACATTATCCAACTGCGCGCCCCTGCCCAGAGGCAGCGGATGAAGGGGGCCCCCCTGTCCCTTCCTCTTTTGCCAGGTCACGTGGCACTCCCTTGTGCCCTTACACAGTGTGAACCAGGCCCTGCGAGAATGACCATTTCTAACTAAACCGACAACGGTATTTGTGGTCTGCAAAGTTTCAGGCCAGACCACAGGCAGTTGGCCTCTCGGGGAGGCTGGCCAGACGGCCTGCTTCGGAAACACTCCACCACCCCATTCATGCCCCAGCCGGGACACCGGGAAGTTAGGCTGGCAGCGTGGTCCACACCACGACCTCACAGGGGCTGCTCTGGGCCCTGTCAGTCCAGCTGAAGTCTACCCTTCTAGGAGTCACTTCCCGTGTTCCTCAGGGACAAGGAGAGCCCACGATCTGTCACAGAAACGGGATACCTACTCACGCCTGCTGATGTGACAGTGGACACTAAAGAGTTTAAGCTGTGTTCAACCAAAAACAATACAGACCATTACAGGAACAAGTGATTTTTTTAAAAGACTCTAACAAAACATTTCTATTTTAAAATTTAAGTAAATTTCCACTATTTTGAAATTTAAATAAAACCGGTGACACAGATCCTTATGGTGCTTAATAAGAACAGACCAAACCTTCCCTCCTTTTCTGGCTCCTTCCCCTGTCCCATCCCCAAAACACAAGGGCTGCCTGCCTGGGCTCCTCCCTCACTGCTCCGGTCCTGTGCTCAGACACCCCAGAAGCTCCCCCACTCCCTGGAACACTCCATTTGACCTCCCTCCTCCCTCACTGCTCCGGTCCTGTGCTCAGAGACCCCAGCACAATCCCCTACCCTCCCCCACATCCACCTGACGTCCCTCCAACATTTCCAACATGGCCCGCTGAGCACTGAAGCCCGACCCTCCATTTCTGCCTTCCCCTGGTCTTCAGAAGAACCTCCCACTCATGTGTTCAGCCTTGTGTCCCACCGCCCACCCCCTCAAACCCCACATGCTTCCACAGGACCGTCCACGGCCTCCGCCATTCTGCAATCCTCTCCTGACCTGGAACACTGCAGGACCAGAGGCAGGCTCACAGCCACCCCTCCCCCAGGAGGTGACAAGCTCCCTGGGGAACTTTCAGACAGCAGGAAAACACAGGGCCAGTCTCTGCCTGCGAACAGACTGCTCCATAAAGCTGCCTCTTCTAGAAGGGACTGCGACATATTTTCACCATTTTTCCAGATACAGATACTCCCCTGACATCCAGGGACTACCTCAGCGACACATTCAAAGCAGATGCTCAGGAGGCTTTTGCTAAAAGAATAAGCAGATTTTCACAATTACTTTGCCTGCGTTTGGACATGCAGTTTGCTCTCTTCGAGGAAGACCATTTCTGGAGAGCCTAGCCACACTTGTGACAACCCTCGTTTTCTTGGATAGAGCAGGTTGGAGGGCCAGGGGCTGAGCTCCTGCTCCAAGGCGGGAGGGACATATGTCAGCCAACCACTCACCCTGGCAAGAGCGGTATAGTTCCCGGGCTCCAGGAAATAGCTGGGGACAGTGACGGTCTGCCTGTGGGTGCTGACAGCAGGGGGCAGGGGAGCTGGCCACCCCTGGGAGTTCCAGAAGGTCCAGGTGTAGGAGAGGCCTCGGGATATGTCACAGAGGATCTCAGACTCGAATGTCACACCCAGGGTCACAGGCTGAGACCTCCACACCTGCGGGTCAGAGAGAAAGAGGTCTCGAAATGTCCATTATGCCTAATGCCACAGAGAAGCATCTGGTGGCTCCGTGGGTTAAGTGAACGACTCTTGATTTCAGCTTGGGTCATGATCTCAGGGTTGTGAGATCGAGCCCCACATCAGGCTCTGCACTCAGCGGGGTGTCTGCTTGGGATTTCTCTCTCTTTCCCTCTGCCCCTCCCCTGCTCTTGTTCTTTCCCTCTCTCTCTCTAAAACAAATAAATCTTGCTAAAAAATCATTTTAAAAAGCAACCAATGGAGAAAAAAGAACAGCTGTGCAAAATACATGACAGTTAATACTGTTTAAAATCACTAAGACATTTTCAACGTCTCCAATGGAAAAATGGGCAAAGACATACATGGGCAAATCACAAAATTTTCACTGACGCTTTATTGTATGGTTTTGACTATGAACTCACATAAATGTTGTATATATTCAAAAATCAAATCAAAAAGCAAAAACAAAACCAAAGGAAACCAAAAAGTCCTCTGATAATTGAGAGCCAAAACAAAGGAATGTAACCATATTTCAAGGAAGCAACAGGGAAGAGAGAGATATTTCAAGTTACTTTAATGTGCAGTATTGTGAGGATATATTCTAAGGGCCAAATAACCACGGATAAATCTGAAAGCTCACAAAGTAGTTTCATTTCTGGTTGAAGTACTGGTATTATTACTTTGAAAACATTTCACATATTTGTTAGGAAAAGTGCTAATAAATAATGATGTGGATGTTCCAGACATCGAGATTTTAATTCAAGAGAATTCAAGCATAAAATGTTTCAAAAGCGTGTAAATTCTGCATACGTAACGTTCCTGGGGGGGAAACAGCAGGTGAAGTCGCGACTTATTTTATGTCAAACGAGCTATCTCCTACCAGTGTACACTAAGGAACTTGCACACGATGATGCCCCGGGAACGGTGAACACCCCCGGAGCCAGAGTCCCGTCCCCAGCTGCCCGTTCGAAGGCCCGGGGCTCTGTGGTGAGATGCCACTTCCAGCGAGAAGGCAGCTGTCAGCAGGCCGGGCAGAAGCGCTCCAAGACCAGCGGCGTGTGGGAGAAGGCACCAGACCCAGCCCAGAGTGAACCCGGTTCACCCAGAGTGAACACTCTGAGCCTTTACAGATCATGTCTGCATCGGACCGGACAGCTAGCAAAACAATCACACGAAGACAGACAGAAGCTTCCTCTGTTCCCCCGTCTCCCACAAATCACACACAACTCAGCCGTCACCAGCAGAGGTGGCTGGCGCCCAACTTCTTACTCTAAAAGCTGAGAATTAAGGGAAAGATTCAAGCACTGTTTTCTTGCTTTTTTGAACAAACTGTATTTTAGGAAAACTTACAGGTCTAGCTGATGAGGAAAAGCTTTTTTTTCTTCTTCTGTTCTCTCTCCTTTTTGAAACAAAAAACTTTTGTGCATCCCACATCAAACAAACAATTGCATTAAGAAATTTTGGAGACAGGGCGCCTGGGTGGCTCAGTTGGTTAAGCGTCTGCCTTCAGCTCAGGTCACGATCCCAGGGGCCTGGGATCGAGCCCCTTGTCGGGCTCCCTGCTCTGCAGGAAGTCCGCTTCTCCCTCTGCCCCTCTGCCCCTCTCCCTGCTTATGCTCTCTTTCTCTGTCAGATAAATAAATTAAATTTAAAAAAAAAAAAAAGAAATTCTGGAGACAGAAAAATGGGACTATGAGCTAGGTTTAGATTATATTAGGAGATCATTGCTAACTGTTTTGATAACAGCATTCCATGTAGGTAAGAAACCACCCTTAGTTTTTAGAGCTACACACTGAAGTACCTAGGGCTTAAATGTGCTGCGATCTGGGAAGGACTTTAGAATATTTTGGCAAAGAAAACAACAGAGGAAACCAGTACGGTGACATTTTAGTGATTGCTCAATGTGGCTGATGGTTCATCACACTTCCCTTTCTCCTTTTATTTACATTTGAGAGTTTTTTTATAATAAGAATCGTAAAATTTAGTTCATAAATACATGAACATGATATAGAACATAAATACGTGAAAAAGCATACTTGCTAATGTTAATAAGCCAAAAGACAATGGTACAGGGGGATGTGAGTGTCACACCCCCACCCCTCCCAGCCAGTCTACCTCTCCCAGCCTCCTGTGCCCCCCTGCACAGCCCCTAGAACGTGCCCACCTGGCCCACTGCCCAGCCTGACAGGATTCCCCAGGAATAAGACAGAGGGTGGTGGAGGGAGGATGGAGGAGGGCTGAGGGATGGG